AGCAGAGAGAGGAGTCCCGGAACTTGGCACGGCAAATAGCCGTTTCTAATGGCTACGAAACTGTGGCTCAGAATAGGTGTAGAGGAAATCGTAGGCCTCCAAACGACAACTCTAGCGATAGAAGGGTCCTGTTTATCCTACCCTTCATCTCAAATGATATAAGTACAGCTATAAAACGCTGCTTAAGAAGGGCGGGCTTAGAGAATTCGGTGAGCGTAGTTGAAATACCACCGAGTAATCTTAAGCGCCAGCCAGTTCGTAACCGCCTATATGGCCGTCTATGTGCAACTCAAAATTGCATAATTTGCCCCAGTGGTAGAGACGGTGATTGCATGAGCTCGGGTATAGTTTATCTGATCTCCTGTAAGACGTGTGGTGACGAATACATTGGCGAAACGGGTAGACCCCTCTGTGTCCTCATGAAAGAACACCAAGCCGGTAAAAATTGACCAAATACCCCGCTAGGCACGCATAGGACCCAGAGACATAACGGGGACGACTTCGAAGTATGTGTCACGATCCTCGCACGCGAATCAAGAACACAGGCGCCAAAAACTCTCGAGGCACTCTGGATTAATTCCAGAAATCCGAAAATGAACCGCAGAGAAGAATGCCTCATTATCACCTTTTCTGATGTGAGGGGCACATTATACTTCCACGTGATTTCTGTGCGGTTGGTCTCTACGTCACATACTTAGTGGAAACCTCATAGAAAGCGGTGAGTGTGCAAAGCTGTGTTCAAAGTGATTGAAATCTTGGTTTGAAGTTTCTTTGTTTGGTTATGGAGGCGTCTGGCCGAGTGAGTTGCTATCAACTTGACCTTTCCAGGCTCTGAAGAAGGCGAAATTCGCCGAAACGTCAGCTTAATCGTGAACAAAGAATAGTAACACCTCGCATTTATATATTTTTTTAAGTTCTGACATGAGTTGGCGGCTGACTATTGTCGCGCAATTCCACGTTTGCGTATCAGTTCGAGCGTTTCTGAAGATAGACGTCTCTTGGTGACTTTTCTCAGCTTTCATAGAGCTAACGTGAATATGTTGAATGAGTCGTTTGTATTCCTCGTCGGTGTTATCGATAACGATATCTTCCCAACAGTGGACTAGTGAATTAAATAAATCCCAGTTTATGGCGATTTTTGAACTTGGTTTTTTAAATTTAGCTACTTTCTCTCCTTTCGACGAGAAACGAGATCGTGCACTATGGAGCGACAGTCTGTTCCCACATAAATTTTTGGAACAACAGCTACATCGGTTAGCCAAAACTTTCGATTTATTATGATCTGATCTACTTCGTTATGTTGCTCTCCATCGTACTCCGTATTTATCCTACTCAGCGGTGTCTTATGGTGGCCTCTTTCGCAGTCAGAGAAATGAAGCCAATCTATCCTACTGTTTAGTTTTTGACATCCATCAGCTTACCGTACTATCAATATAATGATGGACGTACTGACAGGTAGCTTGCCAGCCTTTCCAAAGTAAACATGAAGATTGTTAGAGGATGCTTCTAACCACCTTTGTGCCACCTCCTTTCAAGTCACTTAATTGTAGGCTTTTGGCCACACTTTCAGCTAGAATACAGTCCGCATAAACGAAAATATGCCCAAACATGCATGCATGAACACGTCTAACACGAAAGGTATTCTCGAAACCGGTACAGCAGAAATAGAGAATCCATCTACTGAATCCATCTGCGTCACGGGGAGGTAAGTCGCTTTTTCCGCGATTAACCCTCTATTCGCCATCTGAGGACACGCTGCGTAGCATTACACCTTGTCGGCCGGGTTGTCCCCTATGGCAGAGATCCGTATTGTGTCTAGTCCAACTGTATGGTATTTATATTATAATCAGTTGCACTAATGCGGCTCCAGTGGCGTATTAAAATGGATGCTTAGCAAGACCGAATTATTCTCGTATAAAATTACTATTCAGATGTGGATTGAATCCTTTGGACACTTCCACGTTATCATTCATAGGCTTCCACTGGAAGTGAAAAGCGAGGATGATTAGTCCCATGTCGACTGTGATTGAAACTATTCATAACTTGACAAAAAAAAAAGAAAAATGAGTCCTGAGTAACCGTTCCAAGACATTGAGAAACCCAGCTTCTTTCATCGTTCATATAGTCGGTGGCTTAATCGTAGAAACTATTGCTCCCTATCGCTATCGTTCTGGAAGAACTTCGGTTGCAAGGCAGCTTTTCCCCTTTGATCCACAACGGATGCTAATTGACTGCCTTTGACAAAGATACGAGAAAGCACTACCATAGTTGTGCTGGGATTCGTTCACCTCAATGCTCCACCGTCTTATCACGGCCGATAAATGTTCTAGAGTGTTGAACTGCGATGTGCAGCAGGGATTCATCTCCCCAGTAGATTCTTTCAAGCTGAAAATGAGATCGATAATACCACCTGAAAGACCAACTAAGAGTACACCATTGTCAAGAATTAGCCCCATTTCCCACAATTCAATAGATCTCTTATTATTCCTATGACTCAAAAACCCCACTTAAATGTGCACATTTCGATTCTAATGTTTAAGAGTAGTTGTGCATCTACTATTTCTAATAGAAGGTTGTCACATAAAAGAAACTACATACTATGGCATTACACACTTAGTGCAACGTAGTGCATCATGAACTAAACAGGACAATATTGACATACCGCTAACTAGAACATAGCAATGGAAAGTCAGTGAAAACGTAGCATAATATGATAATATCAGCATAAAATATCTAGAGGTTTTTCATAGACATAGGTGTTTTAAAAAAGGAAACGTCCGGATAAAGTATAGTAGGAAAGGCTAGGGGACATCATGATGCAACGCATGAAATGCTGCATTCCTGGGTCTAACATTTCGCTGAAGCAAAAAGAATGAAGTTCAGACAAGTGAAAACAAACTACATAAGAAATGAAGCGTGTTTTCATTCAAAGCACATTGAAAATCTGAGCTATCACCGCTTTGGAGTGAAAGCACGATAGCATAAGAAATCCGATGAGGGATTATCAACATGAACCTCCTCTATGGTAGCAGAAAAGAATACAACATCACCACGACGAACGTCGAGACCAATGTCTCTAGCTTGAAAGTGAGCACTTCCGGTTATGACGACGACAATAGAACTTGCGGATTCTGCAGTGAATCTATTAGCCGGCACCTTAAAATAAACATCGAAACGTAATATACACAGAAGAGAAAGAAATTCAGTTGAGGACATTTCATTAGACTCAAACTGCATAACCAATCTGATGTGTGCCACGCAGTTTTGATTAACTTTTAACAAAACCCGAGTCCATACATAAAAATGTAACAGATGTAACATTGACAACATAATGTTACCTTAACAGCCTGCACTGCAAATTCCTGTACAGGCGGTGAATAGAGAAGCACACCAGGTAGAAGCTCACGATGTGGGAAAATAGGAGGCTCTTTCATAGTATAGGTCAAGTTAGCGCAAAGTGTCTGAATATCCTTAAATTTAGGAGTCAGACCTGCCCGAATTGTGTTGTCCGAACAAGACATGCATTCAATACAGTCTGAAAAATTCCCCTGTTTTTTAGGTCAGCTAAAAGTTAAACATATTGAGATATGTAACCTTGGAAAATAAAATAAGAACTGCTGGAAAGCTAAACAATGAACGGAATTCACGACTACCTTGTCTCCTATGGTTTCACTGTTGCACATCTTCCAAGGTCTTAATAATAGTAAACGTGGATCTATGATGACTAACGATGGCAGTTTGTGGGATTTCAGTAAGCTGTTCCTCACCCACGCTCTGCTATGAACTTGTTTGCCCAGAGAAATCGATTTAGTTGGTATAGAAACGAAAGCTGCCCAACGGTAAACTATCCCGCGAAATACAACCATAGAGAGATAAAGCAGAAATATAGCCGAGAGAAGGGCACAGCAAGGAATTCAAGTGGCGTGATGGATAGAACATGAGCCTTGGGTAAGTGTAGTCAGCAGTTCGAAGCCCAATTAAGGGTTCAAGTTTTGCTCCCATCTCAGGAGCCCTATAGTTTTATTTCAAACCATGGTCGTCCGTGTAAAAGAATGGCCAGAAAACAAAAGTTAGAAAATCTTTTTGGAACAGTCATTAAAAAAAAAGCTGAAGGATAAAGCCCTCTGCGTTGACCCATCCCTGAGGGATGCGCCATGCATTTACTTCATTAATCATCGTTGGAGGTGACTGAATGCATATCCGGCCTGCACAATGACTCGCGATGGAGTACCGATGTATCCAGCCAGTATTGCCATCCTTCCAAACAACTCTGATATAAGTTTGTCGACCCAGGAGGGATAGAGAGTTTGAGCGGCTTGGGAGACCTGGGGCGCGGAAATCGATACCATGTGTATTGCAGTGCGTCTCCAACCACTGCGCTCCTCGAAAGGTGATATGTAGAAAAAAACCGTGTTTAAGTTAAAATGAAAAGAATCAACCTCCAGATAAATACGCGTGTGGCTCATTAGGCCCAAGAAATGTTGCTTCACCAGGTCTCAGTGAGAAATAATTTAGGAGAAGAGGAGCAAACACACCAACATCACCTGAAGATTTTATTATCTCAATTATTAATTTTCATTTATTTTCGTCAGAGAAGTCGACCAATGAATACGGAAAGAAATTACTGCTGTATTGGAGAACGAAAAAAAATAACTTACCAGGAAACTCGCTGTTCAATCTAACAATCAGCTGATTCAATTTGCTTTGTTTTTCTGAAACAATGAAAAATTTCCAAGGAAAAAACTGAATATCCCATACTTATTTCGCACTACTGTGTAGTAATTCCAGAAAGCCGTTTACTGTATGGAGGAAAATATTATGAAAACAATAAAACAGAACCAACCAGTCTTGATACGATCAACAAGCTCGTGAACTGCTCTGGCGACCACCTCTGGAGATGAGCTCCATATTACTGTGAAAATATTTTTCAGTGTTCTAGTAGATAATGACTCATCACTAGATCGAAGATTCTCAATATTATCGGAATCACCGATGAGTTTTAGAAGTTCTGGAGCACCTGGAGGTATAAAAAAATTCAAGAAGGTAACAAGCTGGTTAAAAAGAGGCTTTGAAAATACGAAAGAAGAGCGCTACAGGCTTACCACTGAGATTTTCATATATCTCCTTAGCAGGACGAAAACTACAGAGGAGTTCGAAGTCGGTCAACGCAATTGCCATCTCTGGTTTGTGATTTGGATCTGGATAGTGCAGTGGATCTTTCGCATGCAATACAACAGCCTCCTCCTTAAACAGAATAAAGAGGTAGCTACCACTAATATAAAGTAATACGAGATATCAGACAGAATCCTGAATATTTCAACGAAATAGGTACTGCCCAATAGTACTTTCGTCTGTGAACGAAATGTTAAGGACGGACTAGTGGAAAGACTCTTCCTTATGACAATCTAGAACTACCGAAAAATTAAAACACCTGTTCAAAAAGAATCTACCTTGGTGGGATGACTCTGAACCGATAGCGCTTTCTTTACTGACAAAACCTTGAAGAGGAATTGCAAGGTACCTGGAAATCGCTAATATAAAGAAACTTTACATTAAAAACACAATGAATCACACATGCCTTGTTCATGTTTTGCGACAGAATCCGGATGGTTTTTTATGAGTGTTGAAAGGTCTTCTGTGGAGTCAACAATTTTCGATGGACCATTTGGATGAACACCCATCCACAACTGAAAATCAATAATCAATAACCACCTCAAACGAGAACAAAGAAGAAATGTCGACACATACCTCTGCGTAAGGCTTGTCGTCGTCAACATAATCAGAATGCCGTCCATCGCGAACAAGCGCTGCGACGGTACTTTCACTACCAGCTTTACCCCAATCGTATTTTTGAACGGCACAAATCAATTTGTGCATTATCTGATAGAGCAAGCATATTGATCAATACTGTTAAGCGACCGTTCTAACTAGACACTGATGAAATCATGAGTTGAAATGTGAAACAAACAACGAAATAAAACATAAAAACGAATCCACAGGAAGAAAAATAGATGGCAATGTGAAAATACTTGCAACGGAAACGGTTAAAGATTAAAATGGACACAAAGTACACAACAGAATAGCTGAAAATAAAAGGCTGTAGGACGAAGACGAAACTACTATTCGGGACACAATAGTCATATGAAATGAAAACCGACGTTTGCATTGAATATGACGATGTCAGAGCACAATGGACGATGTGCGGCAAAATCGATATGCACAGTTCTTGTGTGCTTTCGTGTACGGATTCTTTTTCTCCTCACTTCTTACTTTTGTGGGATCATCTCGTTGGTGTATGAGTCTAAATGAGATACGATCATGTGTTACTATGAGTTTGATTAGACCTAAAGCGATTGTATGTACTTTTACTATTTTACCACTAACATTTGATCCATGCAAATAAACTCCTTTAGTCAATTTTTTATTGAAATTTCGAAACATTTAATGGAAAAACTTTAGAATTTAGTTGATATAGGTATTATTACAGAATACGTTTTATGAAAATTTGGCATATAATACACTACTCCACGGATCTCCCTCATAGAGGGGTCTCGCGCCGGGTGGCAGATAGGAGGTCGACCGCTGACCAGAAGCGGCCTCTGCCTCCCCAAGACGCAGGTGGATCCAGAGGATGAAGTCCCTTTTTCTGCTGCGCTGATTTGGCTGGATATGTCTTCGTTTATGCGGATTGTATTCTACGAGTCAATTGGACCAAAAGTCTGCAAATCAAGTGATATAGAAGTATATGAGAGGCGGTTAGGAGTCGCCTCCAACAAATAAGCTCCGTGTCTACTCTGGAAGAGACTGACACGCTACCCGTGAGTATACCCCGCTCTTACGTTCAGAGCTCAGCAAGATATATGTGGATATTAAAAAGCTAAACACAGTAAAATAGACGGGTCTCGTTCTCCCAATCCCAAAAGAGCCCCTGGTACGATATCGTTGGATAGGATGAGTACGGAGAGGCCACTAAAATATCTCATGGCCACTCTAGGCTGCTTATACGTCGAAGGGCTACGGTGACTATCTGTACCTACAATTCAAGTTCATTTGCACACTGAGTCTTCGATTGAAGAGTTGATCATCCAAGCAGAAGGGGATAAGACGACGTCATCGGCCTGGCAGAGGCGAGACGACACCACCCATTCAACGCCGTCTATTTCACCGGGGAAGAGCTGTTACTTGGGACATGCGATAGCAGAGGAATCGGCTGTTATGGTATTCTCTTCAGCAATAGTTTAAAAATGAACATCGAATCACTGAAACAACTAACAAACCGAATTAGATGGATCCGACTGAAGAGATGTGGTTCAATACCGGCTTTGACAATCTTTGACGTTTAAGCGCCGACATCAAACTATAATGAAGACGATGTCGAAGCGTTCAAATATGGACTTGGAAAGGCTCTCCGAAAAGATGTTACATTCTTTAAGACCATCATTTTAAGGTTACGAGCATCATCTCACTAGTAAGCTTCATGTTTACTTTAGAAAGGCTAGCAAACTACCATTAGTCATATCAGCATACCCTTCCAGGCTCTGAAGAAGGCAATACTGCCGAAACGTCAGCTAGCGTTGTATTGTATTGTGTTTCTCTATGGAAGCAAATGTATGCTGTTTAAAAACCTCGCGATTGCTGAACAAGAAAACGACACATTCATATTCCAATGCCGAGGTTAAGAGAAAGTCGATCCTGGGAACTACCATTAGTCAGTTCTTAGGAAAATGCCACTATTCACAAGATCAAAGAGGAATAAACGAGAAAAAGGAAAAAAGGAACTCGGTTTATTGAACATATTTACGTTAACGCTGTGAAAGCTAAGAGTCGGAAAGTCACCAATAAACATGTGTTTCCAAAAACAATCCAAATTCCAATGTGAAACCACATAAGCCATAGCCGATCTCCATGTCAAGTCGGAACTTACAAAACGATGCAGACAGGCGCTAAAATAAGATCTTAAACAGAGAAAAGCAACAATTATGGTCGAAGCTGCAGGTGCTCGGAAAGGCATTCACAAAGCACACCGAAGCTTCAACAATTATAAAACCAAGATAATTGGACTCCGACGCCCAAAGTGAACAGTTACAGCGTCCAGAAATGCAAAGGCAAAACTATTCACGATTACTACTCGGATCTGGCCAAGAGTTAGTCCTTCTGCCTTCATTCAAAATAAAGATGAATATATTGTCTCAATGGTTTTTCATTCCGAAATCCGACATGCTATTTCATTGGTAAAGAGTCGAAGAACATGTGGTTCAAACAGGATAAGATCTGAACACCTGAAGAACCCTTCACCAGTCCTCATAAACGCAATGGCTAGGCTTTCCACACATTACCTGTCTGAATTCAAGGTTCCTACTCAGCAGAAGACCAGCAAGATCGTGCTATTGTAAAGGAAAGGTGATCTCCACGATATCGTGAACTATCGCCCAATCTGCTTACTGTCTATTGCCTACAAACTTTTCACTCGAGTTATCCTAAACAGGATTGACAAAACACATGGTAAAAGAGGGCCATTTGAACAAGCAGGGTTTCGAAAAGAATTTAGTATAATGGACCACATCCGCACGATAACAAGACTCGGTGAAATACCGCGAAAATCCAAGAAACCGCTCCGACTAACCTTCATCCATTTAAAGAAAGCTTTCTTAACTCAATCAAGGCAGAAGCATTCATGGGAGCCTTGGACAGTCAGACAGTCCCTACTCATTATATATTATTCCTAAGGTACATACTTACTTCACAACCAGGACGTAACCATTCCACAACTTAACCTCGGCATCAAAAGAGACGTTAGGCATGGCGATACAATCTCGTCAATATGATTTGCCACCACCCTCGAGAACGTTATGCGAACATTTAAATGGTACTACGTGGAAGTGAAAATCGATGGTCCGTCGTCCTTATAAAATCAAACATTTGTCAAGTGTAAGGAATGCTTGCCCACATTGAGGGAGCCTGTGGAAATTTTGGTCTTCGACTAAATCTCTCAAAAGCGATGTTCATGAGGATCGAATGTGGAGGTGAGGCGATGATGCTATGAGTGTGCCATTATTATGGAAGTAAGAGCGGAGATCCGAACTTTAGACCTGGGCCAACGACGAGATACCAAAGATGCCGTTCTTTAAACCAAATTGTCGATAATAGGATGGGCCAAGGACGTAATGCGTAATAACGACGATGGATGGAGAAAAATCGTTAGTGAATGAATTAGAGTTCTATACGGAAACCGTAGAAAAAAGACACGATGCTCCGCGACTTCTTAGAGCGAGGAAAGCCCATTGGAATGCTCCTACATGCCAGATTGATAAGCGGAACGCTTACTGGAGCTCACTCGAGTCACTCGATGGCCAACAGGACGGCAGGTGATACAGGTGATACAGGTGAACACAATACTAAGTCGCATCACTTTTAAGAAATAGTATAATAAAGATGATAACCACATATGTGGAAATGCCAGAAAGATGGCAAGAGAAGATGAATGAGATAAAAATTAGCCAACTATTTAATTACCATAAAGTAGTGCATTTTAGTTACTGCCTATTCTTTTCTTAACGGCAGGTTATTATGTGAGATATAATGATAATGATGCTGAAATATTTGCAAAACTCCGGACCGCTGGTGTCTGAAGTGGGGAACGAGCGCGCCATTACCCTTTCCGGAGACAAACACATTCACCACCACACCATGCCAGTCTGTCATTATGATTATATTCAATAAACGTTGTTTGTTGAAAATCCCTGCGCAGAAGAAAATTCTATGGCTTAAATCGATATTTAAACTACTAAGAAAGAAAGAACACTCTTTAGAATTCGACTACTTGTTACTCAATATCCATTCATTACTCCAATGATAATACGATAGTTAGCAATCTGTTGTTAGAGCGCATTGAACTTGATATGGATATACTTAAATTTTTGCTTATGTAATTATTATGTTGTCGTTATCTGTTGAAGTTGCCAAATAAAAATGAGTGGGAAAGCATTTTTCGTCAATGGATCGTTGAAAGGTACGCTATGCATTCGACTTCTTCAAGCATCACAGAGATGATTGCATGCGTAGCTAACTGATGGATTAAATCAGTGTTTTCATTGAGCCAGACACACTCTGGGACAAATTTGCTCACCTTAGAAGCATGTTTTACTTTGTTACCCTCGAAGTGGAGTTAACACAGATATCACATGCGCCTTGCAATGCACAGCTAATCATTGTGCTACAGGCTCCATTAAATTTCCCAAGATTGGATGGACAATAAGAATACATTTATTTATATAATCTTACAAACTGATCTTTTTACCTACACCAACCTTGCATTAGCTCAAAAAGACCAGTTTGCAAGATCATATAAATAAATATATCAACTAGTTATGCCGAGGTTTATAGAAGCTGGTCTTTAGAATTAATAAGAATGCAAGTAAATTTACAATTCTAAATACGATCTATAATTAATAGAACGATAAAGGACAGGGTCCTCGTCGTTGATCAATCACTAAGTGATGCGCCATGCAGTAGATTTCAACAAGCATAGTAGAGATGATCGAATGCATATATGGCCTATAGAATCACCTGCGGTAGCCTACCAATGTATCGAATCAGTACTGGTACGTCCCCATAAAACTTCGGAAATAATTTGCAGACCTTAGATGGATAGAACCCTTGATGAGCCTGAGGCATGTGGCCGAACCAAAGACCATGGGTGCACAGTAGTACACCTCTAGGTAATGGGCTACACGCACCCTATAATAGACTGATACTTACTTGAATATTATTTGGATGGCCCTTCTTCACTGAACGAACGAGTCACAGCACAATCTCCAATCTCCAGTTTTGCTGGTTGAACTATTGTGGTTCTCTGGAGTCCCAAGGTCAGTCTAGCCAACGTCTAAGCCAGGTCGTCATCACGACAGTCAGTCGAAGTCCTTGAGGATCAGAGAGATTTGTCACCACGCGACTAATTCGATACGAGGATAGTGGTGGATCATTGAATTGGTTTACCATTTACCTGGGCTTCCTGATGGAAAAAAGACGGACTCCTTCTCAGCCTGGAAGACCTCGCCGGGTAGATGAACCCCCACGCTGTACATCGCAGCCCGATACCCAGGATCACCCCCCATCCGCGATGCGGGTTACGCCGTTACCAGGAGTGGAGATAATAGATTGACAACAGATAGATGTACACTCTTCACTTCCGTCCTAGCATAAATAGTGTTCGCTTTTTCATCGCATTCAGTTTCTCCAAAAGCGGAAGTATTCCTACGCTCAACCTAGTACTGAAATCACAACTAATTATTGTACTAGTTACTTCATGAAAATATGCCACACGATGAGCCCTTCCATATAAAGTGAACCATTTTGTGCTTACACAAACAGTGCAGTCGTTCATAGATCATTTGCAGTACGCTCCATCTCTATATAACCTTAACCCGTTTCCTAGTACTTTGTGAAAACACGTAAAGAAGCTCAGTAGCCACAACATAACATTTCGGAACATTCGCTGGTTCGTTACTCTACATAGTAGAGCAATACATTGAATGGTTGCCTTTTCCGATTAAAAACTTACTCGAATAGTAAGTACATCAAGTAAGTAAGTATCCGGTCAAACTGACCTATATACCAACACAATTCATTGTATTGTAACCTAAACATAAAGCACTTAAAAGTACTACAGACAACAACGCTTTATAATTGAATAACATTTAGATGTGTTCACATAGTTTCTTGTTGTGCTTTCAGTTTTAAAAGAAGTGCTTTTTTCGCTTGAACACGTTCCCGCCTCTTCTCCAATGTGATCTTCTGTGCCGTGAATCTAAATAAAAAAAATAATAAAGCACGTACAAACAAGTACAACGGATAAAACGCAGCTAATCAATCATGTTCTACCAACTGTTTCTATACAATTTCAATTCTATACAAAGATCACTAGAAAATTATGTCACCTCTTCCGCTCTCCATACTTTTTGGCCTCCTTTGGTCGACGTTCTGGGTTTGCACGAATGGCAGCATGAGCCTTCTTATACATCTATAACCGGAGCAAACTAACTAACCGAACTACCTTAAACACTTTTTTTGGGATTGGGAATGTGGAATGCACCTCCTCAAGATCGTCAGCAGCTATGCCACGCTCGATGAACTTTGAGAATTGCTTCTTATAGGCTACAACGTCCTCTTCCTTAAGAAAGCGCATGTATTCGGCAACATGCTTACCCAAGATTCGATCGCGGTGAGCCTCCGCGTCATACTTTTTCGACACGGAATCATATCCGAAGAATCGGTTTTCACTAAAAATTCTCTTCGGTAAATAATATAGACAAAACTGCAGCGTGATTTTGAAGATTTGCAAGAACAATGGCACAGCACAGAATAGAGGTAAACCTGTGAGGAACATTAATTCCACCGTCTGCCACTCCTTTCATTACAGCAAAGACCTTGCAGCCAGTGGTGGTCCGGGCCAAACCAACGTCCAGAACGGCTTTGAACGGTCTACGGCCTCTTTCTTCCTCAACAGTGTAGAAGTCACCGGTGAGCTGGAATAAAAGTGTACTTAGGTGTTCAATCAAATTCCGCAGCCACCAACCTCTTCCTGGCCTTTGAATGTTCCATCCAACTTGAGATTTTTGAGATGACGACGAGCAAGTAGTAGACCAGTGGCGTAGGCAGCAGCGTAGTTGGTAAGTCCAACCTTGAAAGTGTTGTTAAGAAGTTCCTCACAATCCATCACTAACACCTATTAATACCGATGTTTAATATAATATGGTTTACATATATAAAAAGTAAGAAAATGACCACACCGTACTACCAGGCATATAACGTTAATACATAATACTTGGATACTTGGGTGACCCGTCCTCGCTGGTTGTGCGGGCTCTAGTATAATCTCCACTTTTCGGAGTTTTGCTGGTTTAGCTATTATGGTTCTCTGGCGTTCCAAAGACAGCGTAGCCAAGTCTGTCCCAGATCGTCACCAACACAGGCAGTGGTTGCTCTTGTGGACCAGGGAGAGATTTGCCACCATGGGACTTATTTGAAACTAGGACGGTGTTAGATCCTGGCATTGGTTTACTCTAAGCTGGATTTCCTGACGAAAACGCCGAAATCCTTCTCAGCTTGAGACACCCTGCTGAGGAGATGAATCCGCTGCTGTACATCGCAGCCAGACACCCATGAACACCTCTCAGCCACGAAAAGGCGGTAAATCGTTGGGAGGAATATACTAAACAAAGACAAAAAAAAGACTACAAAAACAAAGACTAAATATTGTCACAATATTAACATTAGTGAAACTATGTAATCTCTTTAAAAGCCTCACCGTGATGCCATAGAAAGGAAGTTCATGTGAATAAGCCGAAGCGACAATAACATCGCCCTCGATTTTTGAATAAGCCACCTAAATGTTGTAGAATACATGCACTGACAGCATCCGAAAAATAGACTTTAGCATAACTTCGTAAAAATGATTAGCAGTGGTGCTAAAGTTTTCTACAGACACACAGAAAGAATACTGCAGGGTTTAACTTCAATTTTACAAAAACAACGGCGGTTAGCAGAAAAAATTGTACTGGCCAGATTGCAGCCTTCGTTTGGGCCAAAAGAAAAGATGTAAATGAAATTACCTGCGTGAAAAACTAATTGATTGTAGTTACACAAGTATTACTATAGGTAAAGAGCATAATTACTCTTCCAAATCTGACAATAGAAACTCTCTGGATAAGGATAAAAGGAATAAGCTCCCGGCACTAACTAAGCCACGAGATGCCTCCTACTATTGCGCTAGACGTGCCCCTATACGGACTCTCGGCGTTGATCAACTCTCGAAGGATGTCTCCGACCACTTCGCTATACTTGCTCCGGCCAAAAATTATTTTGAACACACCGAAAAGCACGTTATCAAGCTCTTCCCCTAGAAAGTTTACGGTGTCTGACATATGGTGAATATTCAGAGAACCCCAACCGTAGTACGCCTAGTCCTTCACTAATAACGATGAAGTAAACTATAAAATCCAGAAAATATACTGGTGATCTTCCCGTGCGATCATGAGTTTCGGTGGTTTACTAGTTAATGTTGATTAGCACAAAGCTGTTTTCCGTCGTTACTTCTCTTACTCCCCTATCATATGATACAGCAAACAAACGTTATACGAACCGAAAACTTCTTCAACGAAACTTTCGATATTCTACAATTATTATGGTCCATGATTTCAATAACTTCTAATTTTGAAAGAGGCACTAAACTATACATTGATTCAACGAACGAGCAAAACCGACTACCTGAGCGATTATGTCCTTATTGGTGAAACGCACGATTAGGCGATATTTCGGTGTGTTGTACTTATTCTTGTCCTGAACAGTAAGCCTTTTTCGTGCATGATAGTCGGTCTTCCCTTGGCGTCGACGCTTTAACTTCACTTGAAACCGCTTGAAGTAAGCCTTATTCTTAACGACTTTCACCAGACCCATACCCTAAAATTCTACGACATTCGACTCATATGCACACAAAAATTATAATTTCACAATTGAATGTCAGGATTTTGTAGAGCAGTAGTAGACACTGAAGATGGCACGAAACAAGACTGAGGTCAAATCTATGGAAGAGACAATCTGCCTAAAAAACTGCAACGACAACGCATGAGAAACACGTGTGTGAAACGATTTACATCCAAAAGTAACTAAAAAGTAGTTGGTCGCAATCGTAACAGCATGGCTCCGAGGAAGGCGAAATCACCAAACGTTAGCCATTGACCACTAATAACTAGAAAGTAGTTAAGGAATTAGTAAACTTACGAAATAGATTTAAAAAGCTGGTAGAACTTGCAGCAAAGTGTAACGTCAGCTGGAACACGTAACTCGCTTAAGGTTCTGACCAAGTACTTTTAGGTACCAAAACACCAACGGCACGAATTTCGTGCACGAATCCTACGCAGAGAATTACGTCGAATATGCAGCCAAGGTCCCAAAACGAAGACGAAATCTGAAACCTAGCGTGCTTTGCTACCGATTTTACGGTTCGAATTCCATCGTTTGTATGACACAACACCTAGCAGTCTCTGTTAGAAATTTAATTCTTTGTATTCTGAGAACATAACTTTACTTTATTAGTCTTTTCGGATTGGACAGGGGTGGACAAGTTGTAGACTTACGAGCTGGAAGCGATCGATTGGATGGCTCTGCGGGGAATGTAGCTCTACTTACAGCATGTTGTGGGTGAGTAAGTGATAGTGAAACATATAGTGAAATACAGTCAATGATGCTTGTGAAAATTCACTCATAACTAGTCGCGTTGAGCTGAGTGTCGATGCTGCTCCACATCAGGATCAATCCACTATGGCCTACTACCACCAGTAAAGAAAACACAGATTCGACTGAGCTGTGTGAGGAGTGAAATGAAATGGCAGGATGCCTTGATACAAATCCGGGAAAGTTGTTCCCACACACATCCTTGTTCATTACTTAATAGAACAACTGCTGCCGTTATCAGTTGTTAACAATTTTGTTCGTCGTCCTCTCAAAACCGTGAATTTAACGGCGTTCTCGATTTCTTCCTGGCATTATAACTCACTGGACCCGTAATCTCGCAGTCTTTGGCTTGCATGTGTTCTCAAGTACCGAACTACAATTTAAAGTAGCGGTTTGTTGCTTCAAGATGGTTACCTGGCCTGAGAAAGAGTACGTTACTTGTAGCAAAAATCAGGTTCGCTGTCAATAACTGATAACGACCGGTGTTATTTTAGAGTTTATTTTACATCCAGAAATCTAGCTGATCATAACAACTGCAAGCAATCACCGCTGTTTTGGAAGAAATCCGGCGATAAGTCAGGAAATGGCATTCATTCAATCGGAAAGAGCTGGCCTCTGTCTGTTGTGTCGATCCAATAAGAACGGACTAACACAGTTTTCTTGGGATTTCAATAGAGGAATCTTGTCCGATCAGCAGCATCCCAGTAAAGTGAAAATTTAGCTGGAGTACACAAGACATAATGCGAGGTGTGGCATGTCAAGCGCTAAGAATAATGTACGAATTTATTCGAAAAGTGGAAAATTGGCGCGATGTTTTAACTTGTAAAGCAATGTTTTTACAGATACTGTGTACAAATAACAGTGTAAGGATACGAAACTTTTCATTAAGCATGATCTTATCGATCACTGTCCACTTCTTATTTAAATGGAACATGAAATGACCACAATATGGAACAGTATTAGGGGTTTATACACGTATTCCTTCTTTCCCTAGTCCTTCGAACGTTTTGCCATTAACGCTCTTGCTGCTCGGGAAGCATTCGATCGGCCCATTTTGGAACAAATCCATATCGATGTCTCAATTACTTTCTCCAAATCAATTCCCTAGAAGAACTCCACAATACTTTCCCAATAACTGATTGGTTAAAACAAGAAAGACCCATAAAACTAACAGTATCGAATCCCATGTCGTGTAACATATACACCAGATCTTCAGTGGCAAGATTTCCTGTTGCTCCTTTAGCATAGGGGCATCCTCCCAGACCAGCAATGGAGGAATCGGCCACACGAATGCCTCTCTAATGAAGAATAAATCATACCGAAGAACAAAAAAGTTGTCAATGTATGTTAAGCCACTCACCTCAATGGCAACAATGACATTCGCCAGGGCCTGACCATATGTATCATGGAAATGGACAGCTAACTTTGCAACAGGAACAGACTGTAAGACAGTGTCAAGCATGGAAGCCACCGATCCCGCACTTCCAACACCGATAGTATCACCCAAGGAAACTGGAAGATTGTGACAGTGAGACTTCAAAAGAAAAGAGCAAAAAGAAGGGAATCTTGAAGAATAATATCGCTGTAATAGGAGACCTAAAGCAACGATGTTTAACTATAATAGCGAAGATAAAAGATAGACATAGAGTGGATTTAAAGACAGAGTGTATTTCGAGATTAAAACTATGATGGAAATCAATGATACTTTAGAAGAAGTGGACGAACTACTACACGGAGCATAACACAATTTCTATTGCACTTTTACCTTCATAACAACCAGATTCTAGCAAAGCGCTTGTGACCTTAGCTACAACAGCACTATCAACTTTCCCTTCATATGGACAACCTATCGCACATGATACATACCTGGAATAAAGAAACTTACGCCATAACAAGGATATCTAGAAAAGAAACGCACCCTCTCACTCGTAACCCCTCTCTTAAGGCGGCTTTCGTGACATCCTGCAGCTTCTGCAGACTATCCTCTATGTTAGCGTTTACATTTTTCCTATGTAATACTAAGATACAAAATAAAGAACAACGATACTAGAAATAAAAAAAAACAACAACACTGGAAATTTTTAAAAAAGCCAACAAACTTAGAGAAGGAGTCGGAAGCAGCACCGAATACAGCGATTTCTTCGACGACACCACTTTTTAACTGAATCGATGTATTTGGGAGAAAATGTTTTGAAAGCCAAAAAACTACATAAAAAAAAACTTACCTACCACATTATCTAATCCGGCACGATTTGGAACAAGAACTGGGTATGACACACCCGGATATTTCGTAATTTTCTGGATAACTTCTTGATGATCAGCCATTTGAGGAATCCACTTCGGGGAGACAAAACTTGTTGCCTCGATGCTCTGAGAATTGAGAAAATGAGTGGTTTAAAGCAAAACCAAAAGTAAAAAAAGATGAAAAGAAAAACTTACTTGGAAGCCACACATACTCAGCCTGTTAATAAAAGCAATTTTATCCTCAGCAGGGATAATTTGCTAGAAAATTGCAAAAGTGTAGTTAAACAGTACTACCAGAATACGAACATAAGTGTTAAATATAACGAGAGGACTCCCACCTCCTCATTTTGGAGACCATCACGTGCACCAACTTCTACTACTTTGAACGTGCGATCCTTAACAATTCAAAGAAACTTTTTCTTTACAGTAGAAGTAAAGTGATAGTTGGAAGGCATAAATTTCACCTTTACCTTACCTTCGCAGCGATGGTGCTGAGGGCTCGGTTAAACGTCTCACATAGGAGGCGCATTTCTCTCTTAAATGAAGTATGCACACTGAAATCCTTGCAAAATTATAAGTACCGGGATCGATGTGGATCATAAGTGAAACGTAAATGTGACAATGAAAAATCGCTACAGTAAATTATACGACCATAGCAATGACCAGAAATAGAGCACAAAACTTTACACAGTACTAGTATCTTGACAAATACATTACTATTTCACATCCTATGAAATAAATTTTATCGGATGAATCACCTCGAAAAGTTATTCACAACTGAACATAAGGGTTTTCCAAATAATTATCTAGGACACTACTAAAATACCAGATTTCAGTTCTCAATTGGTCGACAGCGTTCGTTCGCTGTGGCTTGGAAAATTAGCACGATACTATTTGGTAACCAAGAAGCAAACATAAAACCAATGATACTGAATTTTATAAACTTACCTGCTAAAAGCGCACTTTGTAGTGTCTTTAAACTGCTACGCGCTGACATGACTCCTACAGGAGTCATGAAGGTGGAAAAGAAGTGGGCACGTGTAGCGCAGTGGTTGGACGCGCTCTACAATGCACATAGGATCAATCCCGTGCCGCGGGATCACCAAGCCTTCCAACTCGCTAGGGTCGGTAAATTAGTGGCAGACTTGTCTGGGAGGATAGCAGCATTGGCTCGATACATCGGTAGGCCATCGGCGAGCCATTGTAAAGACCGGATACGCATTCAGTCACCTCCAACGTCGCTTAATAATGTCGAATGCACGGCGCATCCCTCAAGGATTGATCTATGCCGAGAGTTCTATCCTTTTTGTTTACCTGCTAAAGCTGAGTCGAAACAAAGGCAGTTAACTGTAAAGGGAAAAAACGGTGTCATAATCTCAATTTCTGAGCTAAATTTTTCTTTCACATACTATTAACACTACTCCAAACTCAATCGAAATCGATAGGAGGCATTTCAGAACAGGTGTTCCTCGACAGTCACTAATCCTATCGCCGTAATTCCACTGTTGCACCAATCGATCAATCAATGATTTAAAGAACCAATCAGTGACTTAAAGAATATTTTCACTCTTGCACAGCCCTTCTACTATTCCAACTCTACTTTTCCGTCATTTCTTACTTCCGTAAACACAACCCGAATACTAAACCGCTGCCTTTTACGTCTAAAATAACGAGCACCATCAAGCCTTTCGCCACAAAGCCGGTTTTTCCGGGAAATGATAAGAATTTCTCGATCGATAATGCATAACAGGACTTCAGAACCTTGTAGGCCCACATAGAAGACTTTGTTCTATTGTATTTATAGTGTATACGGTCTTTATAGTCTCCTTTCCAGTTCAAATATGTCTGGAATTAGGATCTTCAAAAAAGTGGGGACGATATTTTCAAGTTTTGAAATGTTGAACGCATCAGGAACAACTGGAAACGAAATCCTGCTTCTTCATTTGTTTTGTTGTTCAAAATATGAGTTTGGAAATAAGAAAATGAAAGAATTATAGTCTTCGCCTCCGAAAAACCAGAATTTCACCGCAAAAAAACAACGGACCTTTGCCATGTAGGCAAAAGTTTGTGTATTTTAACAGTTTTTACACTGTAATGAATAAAATTCATAGCGCACTCAACATTTAAGCACTGTTGTTGCCTAACCATGTTTAAAGGGCACTCCGATGTGGCGTACAAGATGTGCAGGTCTCGGAATGAATGATACCGTAATCTGGTGCGTGATTTCTGTCGTATTTTCACGAAATCTTGTCTTGTCGGTTAATTCCACCATTCTTTGCACGTCTTCCGGTAGAATGTATTGTTCTGCCGTGAAGGTTGAAAAGACCATTTCGTTTTAGACGTGGAGTCTGAAGTGTTTGTTGCTTTTATTTGACCATTAATAATACTGAACGACTTCATTGTTAGTTCGCTCTTCCATCTGCTATTGTTTGATGTATTTGATCGTCCAGTTTATTGATCGGCTTTGTCATTAATAAGACGGTGTATCCGTGCCTCGCTCTTTAAAGAATTTGTATAAATATTTGAAGAATAATGGTCTTTTCTAGGCATGGGTGATCTTGAAAAGATCGCCGAGATCCGTGAAAAGAAGGCGAGGAATGTGATGAGAGACTTAAAGATCCAAAAGCTGTGCCTTAACATCTGCGTTGGAGAGTCTGGGGATAGGCTTACACGCGCCGCAAAGGTAAACTTTACAACGATTGTGCGTTGTTTCAGATTGTATTAGTTCAGTGCTTCAGGTGTTGGAGCAGCTTACTGGTCAAACACCCGTGTTCTCAAAGGCTAGGTACACCGTTAGATCGTTTGGAATTCGAAGGAATGAGAAAATCGCTGTACATTGTACAGTTCGTGGTCCCAAAGCTGAAGAGATCCTTGAGAAGGGACTGAAGGTTAAGGAGTTCGAACTTTACAAGGAGAACTTTTCTGATACCGGCAACTTCGGCTTTGGTATCCAGGTTGGCTAGCTTCTATAATACGTCTTCTTTATGTTTATTTCTACACATACTTATGCTTTTTCGACGGTTTCGCAGATTACAATGTTGCGGTGTATGCTGTTTTACATGGCTTCTCAAAAATGGTTTTGTCTTGATTTTTTGTTTTCCTCATTCGCATTGCGGATGTTTGGCAATTTTCTGTTCTTTGCAATTGTTTCTGTAGATCCGCCTGTTAAGGAACATATTGATCTTGGTATTAAATACGATCCATCGATCGGAATTTACGGAATGGACTTCTACGTAGTTCTGGATCGTGCTGGTCATCGTGTTGCAAATAGGAGACGAGCTCCAGGTCGCGTTGGAACGACCCATCGTGTTGGACAGGAAGAGTCAGTGAAATGGTTTCAACAAAAGGTGACATCATGATGTCATAACAATTGTTATTATTATTATTATTACTTTTTATTCTTGAAGTGCCTTTCCACTTTTGATCATTTGGTAGCTCTCGAATACATGGCGCATCCCTTTGGGGTTGATCAAAGTCTGACGCTTTATCCTTTATCGCTTCCAATTTCAGTACGATGGTATAATATTACCACCCAAGCCGAAGGTCAGGAGAAGTATACACCGCAAGAGATAATTCTTAGTCCATTATTTGTTGAGTTTATAAATTGTTTTGTTAATCTTCGAACCGTTTACTTTTACATTCGCGTTCTCCTAATTTCTGATAAACGTAAAATACTACAAAATGCAGAAAGCAAGTTTTTGTTTCCCTTTAAACAGTGGTATTCTAGTCAGTGAATTTTAAGGCTATTGTCAATTTTGTACAATATTATCTTGCTGGAAATTTTTTGGCTCTGTGGGCCTGCGATAACATTATCGTGCCATCGTGTCGTTCCAAGATATATTTGTCCTAGTGAACGAAAATTCATTTTCAAAACACTTCATTGTTATTAAATTTTATTGTACAGTTTTCTCCACTATATGCAACATGATATCATGTAGAGGTAATATTGAAGTCTAACACACTGGAAGTCCTGAATCATCGGAGTTTGTAGAGACGCCTAGGTAACCATGACCTTGGTCTGCAAACACCAATCAACAACAAAAAGCAACAGCTACACATTTTCCGTTTACGAATGTGTGTTCGTTGACAAAAGTAAACGAAAACATCTAAGTTTCTAGCAATATGCCAAGTTAAGACGTAAACGTGCTTGCAAAGATACTATGTACGTAAAACATCTGCCTGTGGAAACACTGTAGAATACTAACGTACGAGAATACTTCCATATAATAGCGATGACTTGCTGCTTCAAAGGAGGAAGTTTTGTGCCCAAATTTGCTCGATAGAGCCTTTGTGTTTGCTTTCATGATAATGAGTGCGCCAGACAGCGCTCATTCATTGGGTTTTGGATAGTAGGACTATAAACAGCTTCATGTAAAGCTGACAGAAAACGCAAAATAATAGCAAATGCAGAAGACGTCACATTGGAGAGTGCAGCTCGTACTCCTATAGACAAATGCTTAAGTGAAAATATCACTGAAAGAGAAATAGTTGGCTATTGATTGTACTCAAAAGATTCAAAATCCACGCAATTCTTTGCTGTTCCGTGGATTTATATAATCGGTCCACTGCCATTACTACAGAGTTTTTCTAGTCTTTATTTCTTTACTCAAAGCGCATGCAGGGTAGGGGTTAGGAGTGCCCAACAATACACACATGCTGTTTGTTTCTACGTCAAGCCTCAGATTCACCAAGGCTATCCAGCCGGATCTCCCTCATATGAGAGATCTCGAGCCCCAGTTAGTCGCGAGGCTACGTGGCGCTTCCCCAGGTGGCGGAGAGGGGGTTAATCGCGGTCCAAAAGCGACCTTTGCTTCCCTGAGACGCAGGTAGATCCAGTGGAAGGACTGCCTGCTTCTACTGCGCCGATTTGGCACATACTTTCTGTATCTGCTAGGTCATGTATGCGTGTGTGGGCGCGTTCTCGCTTATGGGGATTGTATTCTACGACTCAATTCGGGAAAAGCCTGCAATAAAGTAACAGGAAAGATATGGGAGGCGGTTAGGAGTCGCCTCCAACAAATAAGCTCCATGTCCACTCTCGGAGAGCCTGGTGAGCTACCCGTGAGCACACCCAGCCCTCATGTTCAGAGCCCAGTAAGCTATACGTGGGTATCAAAATGCTAAACACAGTAAAAGAAACGGGCCCCATTTCCCTGAACCTGAAAGAGCTCATGATTCAACATCGTTGGGTAACGAACACGGAGAGGCTGCCAAATTCTCAGAGCCATTCTAAGCTGCCTAAACCGCAAAGAACTTAGGTGACGATCTCTACCTGCAGTGACGATCTGTACAATGCACGCACAATTGCATCCGAGTCCTCGATAGAAGATTTGTTCTTGCAAGCAAGAAGGATGAGGTACGACATCATCGGCCTGGCCGAGACGAGACGACGTCGCCCATTCAACGCCGTCTATGACACCGGCGAAGAATTGTTCCTCGGAACATGCGACAATAAAGGAGTCGGCGGCGTCGACGTTCTCGTCAATACGAGTTTGTCCACGAACAATTCATTCGAATGGTTTAGAACCCGAATTGGACGTTTTCGATTAAAGAGGTGTGGATCAATACACGCTTTGACAATCTTCGTCGTTTACTCAGCGACATCAAACTACGACGAAGAAAAAGTCAAAGTGTTCTAGATGGACTTGGAGAAGTTCAACAGAGAAGACCATACATTCCTTAACGTCATCATTGGAGATTTCAACACCAAGACTGGACCAAAAAGAACGCCTGAAGAACGTCAAGTTGGCAGCTACGCATTAGAATGGAACAAACAGAGTGAGCGGCTTTCTGAGTTTAACATGACGACCAAAACTATCCATGGTAACCCGCAATTCCAGAAGCCCCACCTTCAACGCTGGACATGGTACTCTCGCAATGGAGAGTACCATAACGAAATAGACCACATCATAGTAAATAGAAGGTTTTGCCTAACCGATGTCGTTGTTGTCCCAAAATTCTACACAGTATCAGACCACCGTCTTCTTTGTGAAAGTTTCTATTTCTCGTTGAAAGGAGAAAAAGCAGCTAAATTCAAAAACGGAAGTCCTTGAACCACCACAAACTCGGACATATTCGATTCATTGGTCGGCTGCCGGGAAGATGCCGTTGTCGATAACATCAACGAAGAATACGGTCGGCTCATTCAACGTCTTCACGTTAGCGCTTTGAAAGCTGAGAGTTCGAAAGTCACCAAGAGACCTCTGTCTCCAATACACTCGATCTGACACGCCAGCGTGGAATCGCACGAGCTGCAGGCAAGCACGAGCTAACGTCCAGACTTGCAAAACAATGCAGACAGGTGATAAAAGAAGATATTTAAAAAAGAACAGCAGCAGTAATGGTCGAAGCCGCAGAGGCTGGGAAAAGCACTCGCAAAGCCCACCGAAGCCTCGCCAATTGAAGACCAAGATGTGCACTCCGAAGCCGAGACGGAACAATTATAGCGTCTAGAAAGACAATGGAGAAAATCATTCACGAACGCTACTTAGATCTCGTCGATAGCCACGTCCATCTCCCGTCATATAAAATAAAGGAGAATGGATATGTTGTACCACTGGTTCTTTCTTCTAAAATCCGACATGTCATTTCGTCGGTGAAAAATTGAACAGCACCAGGTCCGGACAGGATAAGACGAGAACACCTGAAGAACCTTCCGCCAGTACTCGTAAACGCACTCGCTCGGCTACTGACACGTTACCTATCTGAATCAAAGGTCCCTGCTCAGTTGAAGACCAGTAAAACCGTGTTATTGTTCAAGAAGGGCGACCTCGAGGATAACGCAACTATCACCAAATCTCCTTATTGTTTGTCCTCTACAAACTTTTCAATCGAGTCATCCTAACAGGATTGACATAACACTGAACTAAAGACAGCCACGCAAACAAGCAGGGTTTCGAAGAGGCTTTAGTACGATGGACGACATCAACACGGTAACAAGGCTCATTGAAGTATCGAGAGAGTACAAAAGACCCCTCAGCCTCATTTTCATCGATTTACAGAAGGTCTTTGGTTCAACTGAGATAGAAGCATTCATGGAAGCCCTTGATAGTCAAGAGTACCTACTCAGTGCATGAAGATTCTTCGTGAGCTGTACAAAAATTTCACCACCATGATATCACCATTCTGCAACGATATTATCATTGACGTCAAAAGTGGTGTTAGACAAGCGATACCATCTCGCCAATATTATTTACCGCCACCCTGCAGAACATCATGCGAACATTGGAATGGGGTAATATGGGAGTGAAAATCGACGGTCGGCAGTTACACCATCTTCGCTTTGCTGATGACATCGCTCTTATAACACCAAACATTAGCCAAGCGGAACGTATGCTTGACGACTTTGATAAGGCCTGTGGAAAGATTGGTCTTCGACTAAATCTCACAAAAACGATGTTTATGAAGAACGGATTGGTTTCGCATCTCTATTCACGCTCAACGGGACGAATATCTCCGAATGCTCCAGTTGTATCTATTTGGGTCGGGAAATCGATATGATGATCAACCTAGTTCCAGAGCTGAGCAGAAGGAAACGAGCGGCTTGGAGAGCATTGAAGAGTGTCGAGGATGTAGTGAGGAGAACAAAGAACACCCGACTGCGTGCCCACCTTTTCGATTCAACGGTACTTCCTGCGCCAACGTATCCGTCAGTAACCTAGTCGCTGCGTAAGCACAATGAAAGAACACTCAGCGCATTTGAACGCGCAGTCGAAAAGACGATGCTAGGAGTATCCCGTTGCTCACAAGTAAGGGATGGGATCCGAAGCTCCGATCTGTGTCAACGATCAAAAATCAAAGAAGTCGTTCTGTACGCTAAACGGTCGAAGATAAGGAGGGCTTGACACGTAATGCGTATGAATGACAACCGATGGACAAGAGCCGTTAGTGACTGGATTCCTCGGGATGTCAAACATACTGCAGGAAGACCACCGAACCGATGTTCTGAGTTTTTCGCGAAAAGCCTATAAGAATGGCATGATGCTCGACGAGTCCCTAGAGCGAGCAGAAGCCACTGGGCTACTCTTGCATGCGACAGAGAAAAATGGACGATTTACCCTCACCCGCTCAAGTCAGTCGACGATCAACGGGGCTACAGGTGATACAGGTGATCCCATCGGACTCGGCAGTCGGGTACGAGACTTACCTGGTAAGATAGCAGCAGTTATTTCATATATTGATAAGCCACCAGAAGTCATTGTGTGGTCGAGTTATGCACTAAGTGACCTTTAATAATGCTTAATCGAGCTGATTGCATGACGCTTCCCTTAGGGATTGATCATCGCCGGATGGTCTTTATCCCTCATCTTTTACTGCCTTACTCTTTTTACTTAGCTAGGTGTGCAATTTTGCGGTATAGAAAGATGCCACGACCTAACTGTTTGTATAATACCAAAGTAGCTTGCTACATAGTAGCGAGACGTTTCGAGAACGTGTTTAATCTAACCGGAAACGTTCTCCCTTTGACATTGACTTCTTCATATTGAACTTCTCGGTCATTAAAAAGTGTTCCACTTACTGAGGAACAAGCCACGAACAACCCTATGAGGAGTCCGCTTTGTGCGGAGTACCGTATTCAGTATTGCGTACTTTTACGCGCAGGTGGGATGTTACACACAACGCTATATAGCTGACGGCGTTTAGACTGTGACAGTTCGTCAGATGACTTTCGAATGAGTTTGTGGAGATTTCTACCTTGATGACATGTGCTCATTGGTGTGCATATGGCTTTCATCGTCGTTTCGTTTTTAAGAATATTCCCTATTATTCTCTACGCAAAGTCATGTGTTAACGGTATTGTATAAATTTGTGGAGTTTCAAGCCAGCAGTGCTTCGAGAAAGTCTGGACAATGATCCTTTTCTCTAGGCGGTTCGCTTCAAGAACGAATCGGTGGCTATGCAATTGTTCACATCGATGAGGAGTTCGATTTCGACGATATCATCTTTCAGATTTCGTTCACGGCATTCGGTATACTTTCTTATTACCTACTATTTCCTCATATTCTAGTATACTGTGACTAATTTATTTCAGGTAGGACCTATGTGGTAATTTTGAATCCGGATGCCGGTTCGTTTGATCCATATTATCGATTAATTGTTGGCAATGAAGTATCGATGCTATCGGATCGATCATATCACTTTTACGGTCATCTGGAAGGTATCTATTTGACTTTTGAGTTTTCTCTTTTCAAATTTGCTTCTAGTTTCTTTATCAAAGACTACTTCTTCGTACTTATAACTCTTTAATTTCAAAGGAAATCCTCTCCATTCGGCCATATTGTCTCGGATACAACCCGGTGTTTATATTGGTTCCATCTTTATCGGTAATGATTCGATTCATATTGAACCGGCTTCAATACATCATCTGTCGACAGATGAAAGGTAAAACTGTTTTCTAAAGTGCAATGCACATCGCATATCAAAAGACTTTACTTCAGAGATATGTTGGTATTTCGTTCAAGTACCTTTAAAGTGCCGACGATATCTCGGATGCTAAGCCAGGATGGTCTATTTGTGCCAGTAAATGTAAGACTGTTTCGAAACGGTCCTGTTTGATAATCCTGATCATAGTTCTATATGGTGCAATGTTATGATGTCTTTTTTATCTGCTTTAAAGTTGCGGTTGTGAAATGTCTAATAAGATGACTTTACTGTTGGATCTTAGTCTTCATATTTGCAGTAATTTAAAAAAGAATAAAACTTCGGCGTTGATCAATTCCTGAGCGATGCGCTGTGCATTTGACTTCATTAAGCATCGTTAGAGGTGAATGAATGCATATCTGACCTTTATAATGGCAAGCGGTGGCCTACCGATGTATCGAGTCAGTGCTGCTTTCCACCCAGACAGGTCTGGTATCAATTTGCCGACAACGGAGGGATGGAAGACTTGGTGACCCTGGGTTCGGGGATCTTCTGGGCGCCTCCGAGCAATGCGCTACACTCGCCCATTGCAATAGTTATAAATTATAAAGCCTTATGGGCTATTTTATTTCCTAGTTTCCTTTTAAATGCTATCCAGGTGTTTTTAGAGTGGAACTTCTGGCCTTAATTAGATGTGAATTGCAGGTTTTACCTTCTGTTAGTAAACCAAAATGTATTTGATTTTTCCAAAATAAATTTGGAGAAGGCGTGCAATTTGTCACTTTCCGTCTACATTTTCCATAAATCTGGTCTTTGAGTAATTGCAGCGAATGTTGGTTCTCTCAGTGGTTGCTTGAGTTGCTTTCTGCAGAAGTTTTACTAATAGTTTTAAGTTCCAGACACCTTTCGTGACCACTTTGAAAGATGAAGAAATAGCTGTCAGTCGTGTTCGGAGAGAAATGAGAGCGACTGAGAATGAAGTGAGAAATCGATGTCCTTTGAAAATTGTAGCTGACTATAAGTTCTTCTCTATAGTGGGGAAGAACAACACAGCCCTTACAACACGTTATATAGTGAGTATAACTTTTTATAATGCAATTGTCTCCTCATTCTGTTCAGAGACTAACGTACTGCAGGTGAACATGGTTGCAAGGGTGAACGAAATTTATACAGTGGTGAATTGGGATGAAGGAGAAGACGAAACGGAATTGGATAGAGGAAGGTAACTGTCAAAACTGAAGTTGTTCTTTGTCTTGCTTATTTTTTTTCTTCAGTACAAAAACGCTATTTATGTAGGTTCGTAAATATGGGATTTTCTATCAAAGAGTTGAAAATTCTGGACAAGCCGTCGAATCAAGCCGGGCATTACAATTCTCATGACGTGGTTAATAATGGAGTTTGGAATTCAAACCGACTTTTAGAGGTGAGATAATGAGCTTTAGACCACTCACCCATCTAGCTTCACTAGTACACCTTGAAAACTGTTTATCATTTTAGATTTTATTTACTACACGAGAACTGAGATTTTTTAAGCGAACTTCTCGTGCTTTCATCACTATACTTTATTTGCTTTACGTTTGTCTTTTGTAATATTCGAGGTTATCTTCGTTTCTTGCAATGCAAATTTAGGCATTCACTCGTGCCGAAGGCTCTCCAGATTTTTGCCTTGTACATTTGCTCACTGCTCAATCTTTCGCCGATTCAGCTCATATTGGCTTAGCTTATGTTGCTGACTCTCGTGGTGGACCTGGAGGAATCTGCTCCGATTCTGCTTTTGTACATTTTCCATTGGTCTTCTTAATTTATCTGATTAAAGACACTTTCGTTTGAGGTGTTGGATCGTCAAATAAGTTTTAATACGGTGTTCACAAGCGCGATTGGGAACACCGGTTTGCAGGACTACCCTCTTGTGACAAAAGAAGCCGAGATCGTTGTAGCTCACGGTAGCGTTTCTAATCCAGTTTATTTTCACCAATCTTATTCGTTGAAGCCAATGTGTTGTTCCTAGAATACGCTCACAGCTGGGGTGCTCAACACGATGGTTTAGAACGCGATGCAGATGATCGTGAGAAGTGCCTTCCTGATTATTCAGAAGGTGGTAATTATATAATGCATATGTACGCTCAGAACGGTTACGACCCGAATAATATCGTAAGTTAGTAGTGTAGTGTATCTCTTTGTTCATTATTATTATCTTCCACCATTCTTTTTAGCGCTTTTCACCATGTTCTCGAAGAAGCATTCGTCGCATGCTTGAACGTCGATGGTATCGTTGTTTTGAACCGGAGAAGGCGCTATTCTGTGGCAATGGCGTCGTTGAAGAGGGCGAAGAATGTGACGAGGGGAATTTTCTTAAAATAAATGGTAAACAGTTAGAGTATGTCAGAGTATAGAGTATAGGGTAAGTAGTAAATGCTCTGCCACTTATAGTGTATCTTAAACATGCAGCAACAATAACCAAAGGCTCGGTACGTCTCTAGATTATAAGTGTAGATTTAATTTAAATTTACTCTATATTGTTTCTACACTGTGCAAACAAGAGGTTAAAATACAGTTCTGTTTTCGTTCCTAACTGCAATTTCCTGGAACTGCTAACTCTTTTAGTGAAACTCACGAAATGTTGTTGTATTTTTTTTTTGTAAATCCTATATTTGAATGCTTCCAGGAAGTGCGACTTGTTGTACAAGAGATTGTCGCTTAACCCCTTCATCACAATGCTCTCCTCACAATCAACCTTGTTGCAATTTGTCTTGCTCCTACTATACTGCTGACCATATCTGTCTTCCTGAAGATCCTCTTCAGTGTAAAGCATCGTCATTTTGCACGTAGGCATTTCATTCTCCATTTATGCTTTTTTGCAATGATTCTTTTGTGTAATTTGGAAAATCGTTGTTCTAGTGGTTATTCTGGTGATTGTCCAGCCGCTCCAGCTATTCCGGACGGTTCTCCTTGTCTCGAAGAAGGAGAATGCCAAAAAGGAGTGTGCCTTCCTTACTGTGAGCGTCAGAGTATTGCCAAGAAGAGTTGCATATGTGAAGAAGGTTCGACTTAGCTTGATTAACAGCCGTTTCGAAATTTGATACGGTTATTTTTATCTGGAGCGTTTCTATTCAATTTTCCTACCAACAGTTGTTAAGTGGTCAAGTTTTTTCTTTTACTTAGTGCGCCATCTTTTGTTTTGCTACCGACTTCGTTACATGTGTACGTAGATTGGTCGTCTTTACAAATTGTGTTCGCCTTAGCACATCTGCAGTTTGTCTCGTCCATTCGCGTTCGTCATCCATGGTGATAGTCTGTTTCCAGTATAGTTAGTTGGACGAATATCCAAAAAGTCTTTATAAGTGTCTTTCAAATGCACATATCGCTTTTCCTGAAACGTTGGAATACCGTCCATCCTATTACTCTTCTTCTGCGCAGTTACAAGCCCACGTCATTCGTCGTGTTCCATAGCCAAACTAAGAGGAAGATGTAGTTGGTATAGTCTAAGAGCAAAATGTCTTAATTTTTTTTCATAGCACCATAGTTTTTTATGAAATGGCATTTTTTATGACTGTTCGCAGACTTCTAACATTCCCCACCCTGTTAACCCACTCGTTACAGCGCCTTCTTTGTGGCTGGCCCAATTAAATAAGAGCAGTCTTCTAGCTTCACTGATGCTGCGAATTTCCAAACTCATCCCGAAAAGAAAAGTCTCGTAAGAATAATGCATATGCATTTTTTCATTCAAATTGGAGGATTTCATCATTCACTGCACTCTAACAGTGAGAAACCTCTGTGCGATACGGTCCTGTTGGTGCTGTTTTCCTGGAATTGGTAAAGATAGATGGGATCTCTTTTTTTCTATGCCGCAGCTGCCACAATGGTTGGCCGAAGTTCCTACGGTCTGTGTCGACAAGTGGTAAAGTGACATTTATTTAGAGGCTGTTAAGTAATTTTTCTTAATCAACTTAAGTTAGAAGTATAGGCGGAATTATGTGACTCTGCGTTTTGGATTTAGTGTTCACTACAGAATATTCGTTGGCATCTTGTTTTCTAGAATGTTTATTTTATAAGTGTCTTTCAAATGCACATACTGGTAGCCTTCATGAGCATAGGCTGCTAAAAATAAATGTAGATTAAGTCCTCAGTCGTTGTACAATTCCTTTAAAGAAGTGTTGTCATGTCGGTTGTGACTGCGTTTAGTTTGTGATGTCCAAGGTCCGTTATTTGGTTCTGGTGTTGTTCCTCCCTTCATATTGATCTTAGGCAGAACATTAAAAGAAGGAGTTTGAAGGAATTTAGGGTGCTTTTTCTGTTGCGGATTTTATGGCTAATGTTAAGGTCGTGAAATGTTCACGTGTATCACCTGTCCCGTTGATCGTCGAATGACTCGAGCTGGCGTCAATAGGTCATCCATTTTTCCCTGTAGCGAGCAAGAGGAGTAGCCTAGTAGGTCTTGCTCACTCTAGAGACTCGTTGAGCTTCATATCTTTCTTCTAGGCTTTTGGTGAAGAAATCCGACCATCGGGTCGGTGGTCCTACTGCAGTGAGTTTTACATCCCGAATAATCCATTCACTAAAAGTTGTTTTCCATCGGTTGTCGTCGATACGCATTACGTGTCCGGCCCACCTTATCTTCGACTGTTTGGTGTACAGGACGGCATCTTTGATTTCTGGTTGTATACGCAGATCGGAGCTTCGGATTACTTGCGTGACACGGGATACTCCTAGCATCGTTTTTTCGATTGCATGTTTAATAATGCTGAGTGATTTTCCATCCTGTTTACGCAGCGACCAGGTCTCTGATGCATACGTCAAGGCAGGAATAGTCGTGGAGTTGAAAGGAGTCGGGTGTTCCTTGTTCTCTTCATTACATCTTCGTTGTTCTTGAAAGGTCTCCAAGCCGCTCACTTCCTCCTGCACTGCTCTGAAACTAAGCCTGTCATCATCTTGATTTCCCGACCTAGATAGATATAACTGGAGCATTCGGAGATATTCGTTCCGTTGAGCGTGAATGGGGCATACGAGACCAATCCTTTCCTCAAGAACACATCGTTTTTGTAAGATTTAGTCGAAGACCAGTCTTTCCACAGGTTTTGTCAAAGTCGGCAAGCATACGTTCCTCTTGGCTAATGTTTGGTGTTATAAGGACGATGTCATCAGCAAAAATTGCTGAGCATCAACTTTTATTCTGGCGTTGTCCCATTCCAATGTTCGCTTGACGTTCTCGAAAGTCGTAGTAAATAACTTTGGCGAAATGGTTCGCCTTATGGTGGGACGGTTCAATTATGTAGGAATACCAAGTAGCTAAGACGATTCGGTCGGAATTTGTTGCTCGCCTTTGTGTATGCCACGCGGGACTTCTTGTAGATAGCAGTCACAATGCAGGAAACCTAAAACTTAAACTTGGGTAATTAAACCGTTTATCATAATTATACAATAAACATAGCAATACAACTTTACAGATAATGCAACAATGATACGGGCTATGAGTAGGCGTAACCTGATCACTGGTGTTCAGGTTGCTTGTGACTGAAGAGATTGGGATAACAGTACAACTGTGTAATTAATGCAGCGATGATACGGGTAATGAATAGATGCAGCCTGGTCACTGGTGTTCATGTTGCTTATGAGTGAAGAGATTGGCATAACAGTGCAACTGTATGATTAACGCAACGGTAATACGATGATGTGTGATATTTGGCCATATGTAAGTGGGTGGGTAAAGGTGGAATTGAAATGGTAACAAGTGATACACTTGAAGGAATTAACGCGGACACTGGTGTTGGAGCACTGAGGAATTGAGGGACCGGAAGCAGACCGGTCGAACGCGGCTAAGATTTCAGGACCGGTCCTATGGGCTGCCTGTATTACATCTGTAGTGGGTGGAGCTTTGCCAGAGAGAACTAAAGGCGGCGTTCGGAGAGCGGTTGCATGTGGAAGGGTGCAGGTGTCTGTTCGGAGACTTTTTTGGAACGACAGATGCTGAAAAGTGCATTCAGTGACTGCTGCTGATTCCCTTTCCAGCCACCTGCGAGGCAATTGCATGAAACGGTTGTTAAGAGATGATTTACCGAATGTGCAAGAATAGTTGTATGACGATTACGAATAGGCAGGTGTTGTAGAAGGCATAAGGTTATAATTGTTCTACATAGAGAACATTCCAATATTCGTGAAGAATGTTCTCTATACGCCCATTTTTTGACGTCGATGTTAATATCGTTGTAAAATAGTGATATTTTCGTTGTCAAATTTTCATATGGTTTACCAAGAATCTTTTTATAGTGACTAAGGACTCGCTGGATGTCCTGGGCTTCCATGACTGCTTCTATCTCAACTAATTCAAAAGCTTTCTTTAAATCGGTGAAAGTGAAATAGAGCGGTCGCTTGTACTCTCGCGCTACTCCAGTCAGTCTTGTTATCGTGTGAAGGTGGTTCATCGTTCTGAACCGTTTTCGAAACCTCTATTGCTCACATGACTGTCCTTCGACCAAGGCCTCTGGAATTGCGTGTTACCATGAATGGTTTTGTTCGTCGTGATGAACTGAAACAGTCACACACCCTGCTCGTTCCATTGTGATCTGTGGGTCCCAATATGACGCTCTTGAGAGATTCTTCTGGGTTCAGTCTTAGCGTTGAAATCCTCGATGATAACCTTAAGGAATGTATGGTCGTATATTTAGAACTTCTCTAAGTCTATATAGATCACTTCAACTTCGTCTTCGTCATAGCTTGATTTCCGTGCGTAGACGACGAAGATTGTCAAAGTCGGTATTGATCCCCATCGTTCCAACCGTAAACGTCCCATTCGGGTTGTGAGGTTGTTAATTGTTCGAATGACTCAATGTTCATAGCCAAACACATTTTGAAAAGAGAACTATCAACGCTGCAGAATGTTCCACTCTAACATGTTCCAAGTAAAATTCATCTCCGGTATCATAGACGGCGTTGGTGACGTCGTCTCCTCTCGGCCAGGTCGCTGACGTCGTACCTTATCCATCTTGCTTGCATGAACAAAACTCATTCAACTCAGTCTTCTTTCGAGAACTCATGCAATTGTGCGTGAATTGTAGGTACAGATAGTCACATTAGTTTCTTGCGATTTATACAACCTAGAATGGTCTAGAGATTTTAGCAGCCTGTACGTACTCTTCCTATCCAACGCTGTGAAATTGGAGACTCTTTCCGGGTAAGGGGAATGAGGTCCGTTTTTTTACTGTTTTTTAGCCTTCTTGATACCCACGTATAGCTTGCTGGGCTCTGAAGATGAGGGCTGGGTATACTCACGGGTAGCTTGCCAGGCTCTCCCAGAGTGGACATGGAGCTTATTTGATGGAGGCGACTCCTAACCACCTCTCATATACTTCCCTGTTACTTGCAGGATTTTGGGCGAACTGACTCGTAGAATACAATCCGCATAAGTAAGAACGCACCCACAAATGCATGCATGAATGCGCCTAGCAAAGACAGAAAATATGTGCCAAATCGGCGTAGCACAAACAGGGGGTCTATCCCCTGGATCCACTCGCATCTCAGGGAAGCAAAGGTCGCTTTTGGACCGCGATTAACCCCTTATCCGCCACCTGGGGACGCGCCTCGTAGCCTCGCGACTAACTGGGGCTCGAGATCCCTCATATGAGGGAGATCGGTGGAAATTTGTCGAACATTTTGCAATTAGTGACAACAATGAAGGAAGAAAAAAACAAAGACACATCGAAGAACAAGTCATTTGTGAACGCACCATTTTCGTGATAGTAAGGAAACGTAGAAAATCTTGCTGCCGAGTGAACTTCTTTTTTTCCAAATACAAAGTTCTCAGCAACGATACGTAACGAATGCGTTGTGTTTGTGCCTCGGCCAGGCCGATGACGTCGTATCTTGTCCTTCTTGCTTGCATGAGCAAGTCTTCTATCGAGGACTCGGTTGCAAGTGTACGTGCATTGTAGGTACAGATCGTCACCATACTTCGTTGAAATCCGGGCAGCTTCCATTGGCCCTGACATTTTAGCAGCCTTTCCGTACTCGTCCTACCCAGCGCTACAGTATTGAGGGCGCTTTCGGGTTCAGGGGAATGAGCCTGTTTATTTTACTCTGTTTAGCTTTTGATGCCCACACAAATAGATTGCTGAGCTCTGAACATGGGGTAGAGGTATACTCGCGGATAAGTTGCCAGTCTCTCCCAAAGTAGACAGGGAGTTTATTTGTTCGACTGGACTCCTATCCACTTTCCATATACTTCCCTCTTACTTGTTTGCAGGCTTTTGGGAAATGTTAAACATTAAAATGCAACTTTTCTGTTTATTTATTAGAACGCTAGGAACTCCATAAAAGTTCGTCAGGGGTTGTAGCGAACACCATATTCGCAAAGATCGCAACGGCATTTCTTTAGACCGGTTCTTTTTGAACTGTCTTAAATAGCTTTTCTGTTTATACTGGTGCAAGTGATAAACTCGCAGCAAGGATCTTCTGCAGATTTGTTATTTTTACAGTGAGGTTGGAGGTGTTGCAATCGGTGCTTCTGTTTTTCTTCTCAAAC